AAAGTGTACTCTACTGTAGATGTAATAATAGCAGTAGCAGAGTAAAGTGTACTCTACTGTAAAGGTAATAATAGCAGTAGTAGAGTAAAGTGTACTCTACTGCTAAACTCTAAACTATAATGAAATGCTCTAAAGTGTACTCTGTAGTAGTGCTACTTTGCTACTTATTAGCAAACCGCTATATTATTCCAATCCAACAGCATTCCACCAATGTCCCGTTCGCAATCATTATCTCCCACTCCACGAACGAACAGATTCTCCCCGAGAAAAAAACGGCAATTCAGCGTGTCACCATTGATGACTACTCGAAACACCGCCGATGAAAAGTGAGGAAACTTTCTTATACAGTACATATCAGTTTGATATGCATATGTCAGAAATTAATAAGAATCGATTTTAATTTATATTGCATGAGTGGTGTAAAAATTGTGGTAGCGACAAGTTGTTCGGAAAATTTGCGCATATCAAATTGGAATGCCAATACACACATAACTCTTCCGCCTCTTTAGAGTTCCAACATGGGGACTCACCAGAATGCGGCGGCACAGTTACCAGTCAACTCTGAGCCTCGAGAAACGACGTCGAGAAAATCAGATCCAAAAGGCAATTCTTAGGAGCATGGAGAGGCTTGGTAAACCAATATGGAAATATTATCGCTCGAAATTATCTCACTCTTAAGTGAAGGAGCATTTTCCACAGAAACAAATAAACTCCAATTGTTGCTTATCTTTGTGGGAAAATATGGACACAATTCTGGGAAAATCTCGTTGGTTTCTGAAATTTTTACACGAATTCGTATATAAACTCCTAAGCTCAGTTGAAAAAATCGAACATTTATTCTTACTCTAACACTGATAATGTTGGTAGTAACTTATAGTCTTGGAGATCACAACGGAAGGGCAGATGATCAGCAATGCACACACGTGCAATCTCGCACTATCTGTAGATATAACAGGTTGCCCAGTTAATAGTTAACGCAACTAATACTATTACGATTGATAACCTTATGAGTAATTAAAGAAATAAAATGCCTCAGCCTAGTGGTAGACACATTACACAAAACGCTAATGATATCAACAAAGCATAGGGACAGTAACAAATACACACTGTGTGTATTTGTTACTGTCTCGTGTGTAACACACGAGTAAATTCAAGCGAGAATCACCGCGTGGTTTTCAAGATGCGTCCTCAACACGCTCTATCGCCGTTGACGAACTACAGCATATCATAGCAAGTTGGTGCTCGCCCGATTCCCCTCCCCAAGATCGGCATGCCGTATTGAGTCTACTGCTGAACCACAGGGATATGGCGGGCCACAGCAGAGGAGCAACTCAAGTAACGCGAGGGTTGCGGAGAAACTCATCAATCTCATCCGAGTTTAAAACGGCTAATTTTAGTGTCGTAAAATATGCACAAGATCAACTGCATGTGTTGGTTGACAATATGAGAATTTTTGGGAAATTCTCGTTGGTTTCTGTACACTTCTACCCGAATCCATAGGTGAACTTCTATAATCAGTGAGAAAAGCCAACATGAATCCCTTCAACACTGGTTGATTCAGTCATAGTATCATGTTCATACAGATCGTTATTTTCACCGGACTTGACTCTGTGAGAAAAGACGCATAAAATCGACCACATTTGACGATGGGACTATTCTGGGGTATTCTCGTTGGTTTTTGTATCCTTCAACGCTAAGCCGTGATTGAATTTCCGCAGTGAAATGAGGTATCATAGTATACGACGTCCATATCACTGTTCCTAGTATACAGTGCGTGCCAATTTCATATGCAAATGCGATAAATGCGCGTCTTTTCTTGAAATTAACGATAATCGTACTGATAATTATTCGCATATATCAATGTAAGCATTGCTACGAGCATATACTGTGTAAATATAGGGATTCTCCATGGTGTGGTATTA